GGGGCGTGGGGGCCACGGCTGCTGTGCAGCTGCGCAGCCACCCATCGTACTCCGCAGCGACAGCGTCATTGATTGCTGGTTTGTTTCTATTTTTTGTGCGGGTGCCTGCAGTGACTCTCTCTCTCCTGCTCCCCGATGACTGTGTGGGAGGGCATGCCTGTCGCTTTTTATGCTTCTGATGCTGTGTAGAAGGAACCATAAGAGAAATATCGAGGAATTACGCGGAATGACGTATTACTTTGCGTACATGTATAGAGATCGGTGTATTCTCCGTGGATTATTTATTTATTTCTCTTTTTTTTTTTCTTTCTTTCTTTCTTTTGCGTTGCTCCACACGCGTCTCAGTGTTTGCTTTATTACGGCCACACACGGGTAGCTTGAGCCGCGGATGTTTCTTTGTAGTTGACGCCATTTTCTGTTGGACGCCAACGCGGCCACGTTCGTCAAACATCCACTTTCCACAGCGTGGTGCCTGATATTTTGGGGTCGTCGCAGGTTTAACGCCGGCACCACCGCCGTGGCACTCATGGGAAGTAAGATGGAACGCGGGACAGCGAAAGATATTGCGCTGCACATGTGTCTGCTGCATTAGTTCTGTTGGGGAGGTCTTCAATTTAGAAAAAGAGGGATCAACATTGCACGATGCTTTGGCTTGGAGGCGTTATTACCCCTTTTTTATTATTATTCTTATTGTTGGTATGATCTCTGGTTCCCACCCGTGTCTGCCCCGATTGCCTCCCCTGAGTGGAGCTGCGCCATGGCCATTGTTTTTGTTGCTTGCGGGAGGAAAAACACATTGCGAGCGACGAAACCACACGTCATGCATGCGGTTTTCAGGGAGGTACGTATTTGAGGTGGAGTGTACATGTGTGGATGTCATGTGAGACGAAACGGGGGGTTGACTGCCCAACCGTCACTCCTTTTCTGGAGAGTGTGCTCCTCCTTTTTTTGTTTTTGTCGCCCTTTTGTGCCAGGGCACGGCGGGATTGAGGGCAGCACCGTCCCACGAAAGGTCTTGCGCACATACAAACTCTCATGCCACTGTCGCCCCCGGAGTCGGGTGCAAAACCCAAATTTCAGCTTTCTTCTGCATCGGCGCAATTATTTGTTTATCAACTGACGCCATTCTTTCCGGCGTGTCATTTTGATTGGATTGTGTGGGATTGCTCGCCAACGCCATCAAACAAAACAGGCCGACCTTTTCATGTGCTTAAATGTCGTCTTGCACGCAAGTATTTTTTACGCGTACTGTTGACGTGCACTCAATTAGCGAGGGATCCGGAACCATGCGTGCGTGGAATTCTTCCTGCCATGTGAACTGCAGGCAGCACCGAGGGGTTGTCACTTTTATTCCGCAGAGTTGTTGTGTCTTTTTGGGGGGTTAGCAGGGAAATTCCATGCAGCCCGCTACTGCTGGTGTGCCCCCAAACGTTGTTACTCCAAGCGAATAATGTGCTTCAGCGAGTGAGGGTGTTGATTGGGTTTGTGTGCACTCTGATTCTGTTTGTTACTTTGTGTGGGCACGCAACACTTGAGTGGTGGGAAAATGGAGCGGGGCGGTGCGTGGCCGCGTCTCGCCCATCGTTCACTGCACGGTGGTGTGGTGCACATTGTGGTGCTGACTCTGCGATGTGACTGCGGTCTCCTGCGCGGCAATGGTGGTGGGTGGACGAGAGTGTTGACCCGCGGCGGGACGGTGGGATCGCGTTTTTTTCTCCCTCTGCGAGAGTGCGGAGTTATTTTTATTGTCGGTGATGAGGCAAACCGACCGACAACGTGAATAAAACAAAATAAAAAAGGGCAATAGTGTGGCGGTATGTTGGGGTTGGTTGCACGCCTCGTGTTGCTGCGGGGGTGGTGGGCCTTGACTGTTTCACCGACAGGCGTTGCAGTGCGACTGCATGGCGCACCGACCATCGAGCCGTGCGAGCGCCACGCCCAACGTCATTGGGACTGCGGGAGGAGACAGCCGCGAGTGTCCTTTGGAGCCAGCGGCACCTGCTGGCCGCAGTTGGGCGGTGCGAGTGGGTGCTTCACCGCACGGGTGTTGTGGTGGCACCTCGCCGTGGCTCTTGTGATGGTTCCGACGCTGCAGCTCGCAGAGGAGTTGAGGAAATACGGTAACCGCAGTGGGCTCTTGATAGTCGGCTGGATAAAGTGCTGCTGGAGGGAAAGGAACGCATCACCAACATGAGGCTGAATGACTTCCTTCGGAATTATTTTGACGGCAGGGGCGTTGAGGAATTCAATGAGAACGTCTACATGAAGGACTTTTGGAGTAGCCCCAATGAGTTCATCCAAGACGAAGTGTTATTGAGGACAATAGAGGCATCGCCGCCATATCAAGAGCTGAAAAAAGAGCGTGAGGAGTTTTACATGCTATTGGGGGCTTCAAATAAGCTTAAAAAGGAATATATTGTCACTCTCAGGCAATGGAGGGACTTTAAAAGAAAGGACACGGTCACTCCTCTTGCAAGGGCACAAATAAACACAGCCTACTCTTATGTACTGAGAGAAGAGAGGCGGAAGGCGGAAGAAAGGGAAAGGCGAGAACGACAAGAACTGGGGATTGACTTTTCCACCAGGATTAAAGATGCGGTGTTTAAAGGAAGGGTTCGCGTGGACAAAATGAAGCTGAATGATTTTCTTGCGATGGAATTGGACGGCAGGGGCGCTGTGGACGCCAATCGGGATGTCTTGCTGGAGGAGTTTTTTAAGGACCCCAAGAAGTATATTTGCGATGCGGGAGTATTGGGCGAAATGCAGGCATCCGATCGTTACAAGAGGATGGAGGGGGCTGTACGGGATGAAATGGATATGGAAGAGGATGTACACAAGCTTTACAAAAATGGTGTGGACAATCTACTGAATTGGTTGGTGGCTACTGCGGAGGTAAAGGCAAATGTTCAAGAAATCACTAAAAGGTTTTTGGATGCGGCCGCCGAGGAAGCGAGGAACCCAAAGAAGTCGAGCGCACCGATATACCTGGAGGGATGCTACGAGTCTGTGTACAATGCGGGGTGGCACCATGTCGTGGAAGTTCCTGACGGCGAGGGGACGGGAATGAAGGTGGAGGAGGGGGAACCACCGCAGTCATGGACGTACAAGGCGGTTGGCGACACTCTCGAAAAGGATGACGGTGTGCAGCAATCCGGTGCACCGCGTCCCAGGCTGATGGTGCTAACCTCGGACAAGGGATGGCCGTACTCGTGGGAGGAGGATGAATCCACTTGTGACTGTCATGTGAACCGTGAGGTGGAGCGAGTGTGGCAGACCGTCAGGAATGATCTAACCGAATTGCTCGGCCCTGACCCTGGGGCCTACTTTGAGCCTAGGCGCCGTGTGTTGATTGGGACGCCCGGGATTGGGAATTCGATGGCTGCCGGCTCGTACCTCCTCTACCAGCTGCTGCACTGCGATGCGGAGAAACTCCATTTGGTTATCTACAGTTTTGGTGGAAATACGACGTACGTGTTTGACAAGACCATCAAGGCGGTGAAAAGACACGTGGGTAGAGGAGCATCCAAGGAATGTTTGCGTGATTTATGGGATTGTGGGTTGAAGGGGTATGTTATTTACGATGTGACAAGGCAAGGGAAACCGCCAGCGAAATATTTTTTGCCTGGCCCCGGATGGGGCATGATTGTGGTGTCATCGCCAAGCGTTCGCAACTACGGTGAATGGGAGAAACAAGAAGGAGCCGCGCGAATCATCATGAATTGCCCCGCCGAGATGGATGTGAAGGCGATGTGTGCATGGATGAAGCGTGACGAGACTGCAGAGAAACAGGCGGAATGCTGGAAGATGGTCAAAGAACGCATGGATAACGTGGGGCCGATTCCACGTTACATCTTTGATGCCAATAAGTTCGTTGCACACTCTGCTGCCGTTGAGGATGCCTTGGATGGGATCAATTCCCGGGATGGTGAAGAGCACTTTACACATGGAGGAGTGAGACTGTGGGGCTCTGAGAATCCGTCTCAAAAGCTCGTGAGGGTTGTCCGAGCAAGAGGAGAAGTCGGTCTTAAGAGGTTTCGTAACGCACCGATATGTTATTTCCTTGGGTCTCGATCAGCGAACCGTTTGGCAAAGGCAATGAGTGAGAGAAAATTTTTGTTGCTGGTATTGGGGACGAGGGAATTTCATTTGTCCGAATGTACGGAAAAGTTTTGTTTGTGCGCTCTCATCTTTGATGGGTTTGTCAGTGCAATGGCAGTGGGACTCAAGGGGCTGAGGCCACCAGCACATGGTATTCAGGGCACTGTGCTGAAAGCAAATCCTGGAGGGCACCCCACCGAAATATGTGAAATACCTCGAGTTGAAGAAATTGATGCGAAACAAAATATAAATTATCGGGTGCTGTACATACCGGTGGTCAGGAACTTTCCGCTGGTGGACTGCTTTTTCTTCATGGAGTTACCGCGGAGGACGCTGGTGGGGCTGCGGATGACTACGGCGGGTGGGCACCACACCACCGCCAGCACCGTGCGGCAGTTCACTGAGCATCTATCGAAGTTTTTTAATGGTTGGGGGGAATCATCTCAGGGATTGTCGTGGGAGATGATTTATGTGCAGCACGCAGACAGCACGCCGATGAATGGCTGGCGGAGATGTGATGTCGTCAACCCGTCGAGTGTGGGAGATGTTGATCATGGGAGGATCGCGGAGTTCTGGAAAACCACACATCAGTACCAGTTCACGCTGACAGATTGTTTTCTCAGGCGTATGTTGTAATCACGAAGATGCCGAAACTTCGTGAAGCAAAAAGCTTAGACGAGAAAATTGAAGAAATGACTGAGGAGGTTAGCGCAGTGCGTTTATGATGAATTATGTTGGGGAGTGTTTTAACGGCTTTTATATTTGTGTGTGTCTGCAGGGTTTGGTCAGGGAATGTCTTTCTTTTCAGAGAATCATTGCGGTCAACAGTGTCGCACCACTACAATCTTTTTTTTTTTTTCATTTTATTTTGTTTTTACTTCAGTGAAGGCTCCGTCGCCCCTGGAGGCCTTTGCGGGATGTGGGGGCCGCACAATTTCTCTTCATTTTTATGGGAGTTTGTGAGAAGAATGCCTGCGAGGATGACTGGCCGCCCAAATAAATTTATATATCGATGCAACGGAGATGTCTCTGCGGGGGTTTCTTCCTCTTTTATCGTATGGTCTTTTGAGAGACCGCGATTGAGGGAGTCAGGGAGCCGCCGGCTGTACGACGGAATTATTTTTTTATTTTTCATTTTTGCCTTCCCACCCACCCACTTTGTGATTCCCACCTTGCGGGTGGAGGAGCCCCAAAGGCCTGCCGCTTTGCAGGGGATAAGTGTTTCTATTTGTAACTGTGCGCAGCAGTCAACGGCAGTGATTGACAGAATGTGTATATATTTTGGGGGAAACATTACGGCGAACTCATTGCCTCTCCATTCACCGCCTTTTTTTTTTCCTGTCCTTTTTGGATAATTTCAGAATCCGGCCAGCGGCCCAGAAGATTATTCAGTGTTGTTTTCCTCTCGGTCTCTTTTCTGTCTGTCTTTGACCTTCCTGTGTATGCATGCAACAAACGCACAGCGCAGCATTCAATGTGATATTCTCCCAATGGAGGCGAAGGCCGTTTCTGCTCCCACCAAACCACGACGCCGTCCTCGCAGCTCCCCGCGACAATGCGGGTGGACGGCAACACGGCGCAGTTCAATTGCCCCCAGCCCCTGAGGGATGCCGGAATTGCGGTTGCTGCGGCCTCGTTTGACGTCGATGTGGCGTTGGACGTGCCGGACGCAAGTACACTCTTCCGAAAATTGTGTGCCACTGCCGCCCCCAACTTTACTCAGGAACGCAAGAACATGGTGGCCTTCAGCTACGGCGTGCGCTCGTCACCAAAGCGACAACTCATGTACGGCTCTGCAGCTGGTGAAGGATATGCTGCTTGTGTCATCACCGAATCTATTCGGCTGGGCGCCAAAAAGGGCATTTTTACCCTTTCATGCCACGTCATTGGGTCAACAGAGCACCGCGCAGACCTTCTTGACGCCGACAAGGAGCTCGGAGTTATTGTGGGCTCCGTGAAGGAGGGACCTCGTGTGCGAATGGTGGCGCGAATTTGTGTCTCATTGGCCGGCGACGGTCGAGCGGCGATGGACACTATCGTCAAAACTATGAGAAATACTTTGCCTCCGTGCTGTGTGAAAAGCAGCCAACGCCTGAGCTGGAGGCAATGCCCTCGTATTTGCCCGACACCGTCGTTCTTCAGCTTTACCGCGATGATGGTGAGGCGGAGCTTGCAGATTACATGGATGCAAACTTCCTGACATTTGTCGCCTTGGGAGATGCCGAACGGCCCGCTTTGTGTGGCATTGATGCCGCCGCGCAGCTACACTACGAAGCTACACTACGAAGGGGTCCAACGAACACTGGTGTCGGCAGCAGGAATTGTCTCCGGCATTCGCCGCCGTCGTCTGCGTGTTCCCTTCGGCATGTCAGAACTCAGTGAGTTGTTGCGCCGAGCGTACAACACGGAAAAAGGCAACCCCAACAGTAGCCTCACTGGTTCTACCGAGACGGTTTTATTGGCTCACGCCTTTTCGGATGCCGTGTGGGCGGAGGAATCGTTCCATTGTCTCTCCACGACTTGTCGTGTTGGCAATATTCTTGTCTCGACCGGAATTGGATCCGCCACAAGGGATCTTGCCGTTGACAAGTGGCGTCTTGATCAGGACATCATGGAGTTGCGGGATGAACTCATGATTGCCCGGACCGTGTACGACTACAGGCATTGTGGCCATGAATCCAACAGGCCATTTCAGACATGGAGGAGGAAGGGATGAAGCGCGTCAACGCCATTGAGAGTAACCGTGAGGAGGCGCGGGAACGGCAGCTGAGTGTGTTTTGCGAGCGCACCAAACATGAGGCGGAGAAGATGGCCAAAGTGCTTGAGCAGAGAGGTGGGGCCACGTTGGATGAAATTTGGAGGACTCTGGAGGCGAAGAAGCGGGAGAGCAGTGCTCTGCAGGCCGACCGCGAAAACCGCATTTGGGAGTACGAGCATACGCTGGAGAAGATCCGAACGAGGAAACAGGACGAGGAGAGTGCCTTGGAGAGGTTGCGGCAGGCGATGCAGCAGCCGGAGCAAGAACTCAGCCTACGGCAGAGCGTCATTGAGACGAGGGAGCAGCAGCTCGAGATGGTTCAACTTGACGGGGCGAGGGGGCGAGAGGCCATCATGCGGGAGCGGCATTCTATTGAGGAGGTGCGAAGGACCGTCCGGGAGGAGCGGCGTCGCCAGCGGAGGCAGTGGATCCATCAGATTAAGGAAATGAGTGCAAAGGTCCTGGAACAGGTGCGTCTCTTGGCCGAGGAGCGGAAGAAGAAGTGCGAGCAGGCGACAGCCAAGGAGGACGTCGCCGAGAGGGCTCTTGCTGCCGACATCAAAGTGATCGAGGATTATTTGCCGAAGCTCATTTCCCTTGAAGACATTCCTGTGAATCCGGAGGAGACGGGCATCATTCGACGCCAGTTTGACGAGGTCTTCACGCAAGAGGTACAGACATACTTGGCCAGCGCTGAAGAGGAACAGGCCCACAAGGAGAGGCTGGGACGAGGACTCGAGGTGTATTGACAGCGTATGCTTGATGACTGCGTGGCAAAGAAAAATGGAAAACTGCATGACGCCGAGACAACGGAACACCACCTCAGTTCTGTTGTGGATCAGGCGCTGAATTACTTACGCAACGGCGTCCGCGTGGCAAAGATACCGAGCAAGGGCAATGCTCGCAGACGCCTATATGTTCTCTCGGAGGACTGCAAACGTATCCATTCCTGTGATCTGGACCATCAGGGATTCCCGTTAAATCGCAAACGGCCTCCAGTCACCATGTGGATACGTGACATCGAAAAAGTTCTCATCGGCCCGTCCACAATCTCATTTGTGAACTACAGCGGCGAGGCACAGCTAGCAAAAACACGCCAGGAGGCAGTTTTTGACAATGGGACGCACCGCCATGATGCCACGCAAAACATCACTCCGTCCAGCCTTGGAACAAACAACCACCGCGCATTCGCACTTTTGCTTCGCGGTGGGAAATCACTGGAGGTAGTTTGTGAGACTGACAGGGATTGCGAGGCTTGGCTTGTTGCTCTCAAGCGTCTACTGCATTTGAGGACTCCTGCGGAAAGGCTTCTTGAGGAACGACGGGGTACGTGAAGAGACGCACGTGCGCAGTCGAGCGATAATGACGCGGAAATGCGGTGGGGTGGCCCACTTGACACCCGCAATATGCGAGGATTTGTTTTGTTGGCTCCCGATGCAGCAACTCTTTGCGGCGAGGATCACATTCCGCCATCCCTCTTCCTTCGGGTGGAACCGGAGCTGGCTGAAAAGTCTCAAAGGAGCACAATAACCGCCTATGGCGTCCGAATTTGCTCGGGCCTGGATCTCTTTTGCTCTGGCTGACTTTACGACTACTTGTGCGAAAAGCGTGTCGTTCCGCCTCCGTACTAATGCCGTGGGATCTTTTGTTGTTTTTCTCTTTTTTTTTTCCATGGCTATTTGTGGTTTTCTTGTGTGCTCTTTTAGATGTATTGAGGCGGCTGGTTGGAGAGAGGCTAACTGCCGCACAATTCTGTGTGTTCAGGACTTTTGAACCCCACGTGTTTGGGTTATTAGCGAGTGAAGGGAAGAAAAAAGGGAAATGATGGTCACCACCAGTACTACTGCTGCTGCTGCAGCTTTTTCTTTTTCTTTGCTGCCGGCTTGAAATGGGCTATCCATCATTTCTTGTGAGTGTTCCACACTCTTCTTCTTTTTCCTCTGATTCTGGATGCGTGTTTTTTTAGCACCGCCGTTGTGGGGCCGTTGCTTTGCCAACATGCATACGGGGGGTGGTGCTCCTTCCCATAGATGTGCCGTGAAAAAATATTAATATAATTTCAAATGCGCCGTGTGCTTTTCTGTGTGCGTGTAATGTGGGGCTTAGGCCTCACTCAGGCGGGGGCAATGACATCCTTGCACCATTGCGAGGCGGCCGTCGAGGCGGTGCACTAGCACAACAAACTGTGCGTTCCATATCACGCAGAGTATTCGCTACTGTGGGAATCGAACACTTGTTTTTTGGTGAAACTACCACTGCTTATCCACTGGGTGCGGTGCGTTGATTCGGCAAAGGGAACAGAAGGACGTCCTCTATGAGGTGTGCCTATGGAGGGAGAACTGAACTGCTACCTTGGTGACTATAAAATATTGGTATTTATCTGAAACGAGAGGGCGCATCGCTGTGCATGACGAGACTTTATTCATACGGACGTGATGCGGCGGGTGGAGGAGGCCAACGGAAATGAGCAATACGAGAGCGATGCCATTGCTGCCTGTTGAGATGATTTGGGCAGTGATGATGATAATGATGCGGCGAACACTCTCAGGTAGAAACGCTCTTCTCGCTGTCAAGGTATCAAAGTTGCACGGTAATGTGCCGCAGGTTGGCTGGGACTCTTTTTGTGAGTTTTTCCAACACGTCGGTGGAGCTGCTCGGCGTTCTCCAAAAGGGTGTTCTGTTCTGCACAGATGTGGCTGCCCGAGGATTGTATCCGCCACGGGCGGACTGAAGTGTGCACGACGATCCTCCGACAGATCCAGCGTGTTGTATTCACCGCACTGGACGGTCAATCCCGCATTGGCAACCTTGGGGACTCTCTGCTGTTCCTCATGCCACACGAGGCAGGATGCATCCCATGCGTGAGGACCCTTTATCG